CCCACGGGGACACCCTCAGGGGGTTGGTGGCTGTGAGTCCATCCGTGCTGGTCCCACAGCCAAGGGGAGAGGCTGAAGAAGCAACACAGGGGAGAAGGTCTAGAAGAAGAGGAGAAATGGTCGAGCTCAGCTTTTCCTCCAGGACATCCCCCCACCCCCGTGCCAGCCTGAGACCCATCTCCATTTGGTACCATTCCATGAGAAGGGGGGGACACCCAACCTCCCTCATCTCCAGGCCACCAAGAGGAGGGTCCCTGATGTCATGGCCAGGGTGCCCACCCCAACCTCACCTCTTTGCTCACTGTGAAACCCCCCTTGCAGCCCCCCTAGATGTGTAGGGTCTGTTTACAACCCCCCCTCCCCAACATCCTCTCCTTGCCAAGGATGCTCCATCCCCACCCTGGGGCCACCAGCCAGGGCCACCCTCTCTGCTTGCCTTGCTCCTTCAGGAGCTCCTTCTGCTTTGGGATGGGACCTCTGTAGCATTTCAAAAAAATAATAATACAAAAAAAAACAACCACCAAACCCCCCCCAGAACCCCCAGATCTCTTTATTTTTTAACTCTCTTCCAGATCTTAAGTGCAGGCAGGAGAATGTGAGCACTTCCAGGTGTCCTCATGGTGCTGTCCTGAGCCTTGTCTAATAAATGGAACGTGATCTTTCTTGACCTTGTGCTGCCTGGATGGAGTTGGGGAACAGGAGAAAGGTTTTAGGGTCACCTCATCCTCCAGCTGGGCTGGAAGATGTTCTCCTGGAAGCAGAGAGTGAAGCCAGGGACAGCACCGTTGGGATTCCAGCAGAGTAAATAACCCACCCCCAGCCCCCCCCTTCTCCTGAGCCTCTTTCCAGCTGGAATTTCCTAGAAAATAATCAAAATTGCTGGAAAAACCCAGGTGTCCTGGCCAAGCCTGAGACCTTCGAGGGAGAGAAAAGCCAGTAGCTGGAGATGCCACAGCCTGGAGGGGGAGGAGATCCTGGGGTGGGGGGAAAGTGTGGGGAGTTGGGGATGCACCTTCTTCCACATCACCCATTGAGGGGGGTTTCCACCTACATCCCAGCCTGGCTCTTGGATCCATGGGTGGATCTGGCATGGATTTGTCTGCAGGGAAAGTCTCAACCCCTTGGGAAGTCTTGAACCCCTGGAACATCTTGAACCCCTGGAAAGTCTTGAATCCCTGGAAAAGTCTCAAGCCCCTGGAAAGTCTGGAACCCCTGGAAAGTCTCAAACCCCCTGGAACATCTTGAACCCCTGGAAAGTCTTGAACGTCTGGAAAGTCTCGAATCCCTGGAATGTCTTGAACCCCTGGAAAGTCTCAACCCCCTGGAAAGCCTCAGCCCCTCGGAGCCGGCTCTGCCCTCCGGGCGCTGGGGATTAGATCAGGAAATGAGGCACAAGCAGAGGTAAGAGGTTTCCTGAAATCCCGGCCAAGGCTCCAGTCACTCAACCAGGCTGTCTGAGCTCCAGAACAAAAAAGAACTAACCCCGAAAACGCACACACAACCCGGGGAGACTTTTGCCTGTGCTGGGCAACTTTCAAAAGGCACCCGGGCCCCTGTTTGCACCCTGGATTTTGCCCCCCCAGCCCCTCTCCGGGGTGTTCTTGCTTGGCTGGTTCTTGGCAGGGTTTTCCCAGCCTGGGGGAGAGGGTTTCAAAATCCATTTCGTGGTTTAACAGGCAGCTCCTGGAGGTTAGCAGGGCTGGGGACAAGGACAGGGCTGGGGACAAGGACGTGCTGGCTTTTCAGAAGCTTTGGAGTCGTTTGGATGTTTTTTCTCCCTCCTTCAGACGGGAAAAGCACTCCTGGTATTGGAGACGGGAGCAGCTCAAACCTCCCCCTCTGCTTCTCCTCCTCATTGGAACTGGGGGTTTCCCCTCATTTGGTGGGGGCAGGAATGTTGGGTGCGTGGTCATGGGCTGGGAATGCTGGGTCTAATCCTGCCCCACGGGTGGAAAAGTTTCCCCCATTTCCCTTCCCAAATATTCATCCCCATCCCGGGTTTGCTCTCCTGGCCGGTGCCAACATCTCCCTCCATCCCAACCCCCCTGCTCCTCCCTCGTTGCTTTTGAAGATGAAATTTGCAGGGTTTTCTCCCCTCGGTGTCCGGGGGGG